CGGCATTGTCATGGTCGTTTTTCTTCGTTGGTGTCACTGTAGAAACAAAGATAAATGAAATTAGTTTTTGATGAATAAATAAATAAATCGCAAATGTGAGGAGTGAAATGATCACCGGTCTGGTAACTGGAGCGGATTGAGTGTCGCAAAACAAGGAGAAGCTGCGATGAGAAAAGGAGAAATTAGAAGGGAGGGAGAGAAGAGGAGTGAATGATGGGAAAGTATGTCACATACAGGGACAACAGTGGACATTACGGCGATTTCGAGCATGGAAGATCCAGTCAAATTGCTTACGAATCTGATTATTGAGAAAATTGTGAATTTTGGATATCATTAGAGAAAATGAGAAAAGGGATAGAAGAGAGAGAGAGAGAGAGAGAGATGTTACTGTTCTTTGAGATGCTTGTTGGGATTGAGAGAACCATCCATGATTTAGGAGAATTCAAGTTGTTTGTTAATAATAAGAAGATGTGCTTCAGAATGAGCAAATTCAAATCTGCAGTGTTTTAAGAGAGGGCTTCGGATTTTAGGAGAGAGCGAATGAGTTGCAAATTACAACCTTAAGGGTGCTGATTTCGTTAAGGAATCTTATCAAAAGGTGGTTTACAATTTACGGAACTGCAATTACGAACTTACAGAACTTTCTATTTCTCTCTCCAGCATTTTGTTCGCCATTGACGAGGATGGTAGGAAGCTTGATTTAAAATTAAAGAAACAGATTTTGACAGCGGCTGATCAGCTTGTACCATCCCTCTTCCTTTTTTTTATTTTTTTTCCTAAAGAAATTAATTTTAAAAAATAAAATTAATAGGTTCGTCTTTTGACGAAGAAACATTGCACATTATATTGAAATAATATAATGATTTTTTTTATTAAAAAAACCTGGTTATTAAATGTAATATGATATTTTTGTAATGGTTCATTAGTTTATTTCTAGATTGAAAGGAATTAAATCGGTATTTTTATATTTTTAAAATATGATTGAATTATTAAATTATTTTTAAAAGTAAAATTTATTTAACATAAAGCCATGAGTTTTTTTTTTATTTTTAAAAATATAATAAAATAAATAAATTCTTTTAAAAGACAAAAATAAGTGTTAAGAGCTTTTTCATATTTTTTTTTTTGTTAAAATTAATTTGATTAAGAAATAATTTGATATTTTAATAAATATAAAATATTATTTAAAAATTAAAAGGGTGAATGAAACATCTACCAACAACTAAACAATGCCTTTATTAGTGATATTTGAAGTAGAAAGTTAGTTAAGAAAGCAATGCAAACCTTGTTTTCAAAATATTTTAAAAAAATTTTGAGTTAAAAATAATTTTTTTATATATTTTGAATAGTTTTAATGCGGTAATCTTAAAAATAAATTTTTTGAAAAAAAAATACTATTTTAATATATTTTAATATGAAAAATATTTTAAAAAGTAATCATAACCACATTCTCATAACAGACTACATTCTCTTTAAAATAATCAGGCTTATGTACATAATAAAATAGCTACTAAACTTCGATGAATTTCTTTTTCTCCCTCCTCTTTTATTTTTTATCATCTTGGTTTCACGACAACCCTTTTAAAAATTAGATATGTTATGTTAATTTATATTTGTATTAATTTTAATATTTATTTATTTTTATTATTTATTTATTTTAATGCCTTTTGAAGTTTATTTTGTTATTCAAATTTATACATTAATATTTGATTTTATTTAATTTTTTATCTAATTTGATTCCCATTATTTTGATTTTTATTTTATATTTTTTTTATTTTCTTGATTTATTTTACTTTGTAATTTCATCCCTCATTGTTTTATTTCATTTAACTTTTATATAAAATATGATCATTATTTTTTTTAAATTCATTTTTTTTTCAATTTCATCCATTAATATTTAGATAATTGAGAATTTTTCTTTGTGATTTTCATGTTTTTTTGGTAATGTCGGTCTCATAACTCAAGTCACAAATTTTAAAAATTAGCTCAATTTAATTTTGGTTTTTTGAATTAATTTTTTTATTTATGTTTTTTTCCTATAGAGTTATCATAATTTTGTGTATCAGATATGAGATTCATCAAGTTAACCCGAGTTTATTTATTTTTTTAATTGAGTTTTTTCTCAATTTTATCTTTCATCATTTAGTTTGCTCAAGAGTAAACTATCATTGCTTTATTCAATTTCTTTTATATAGGTTTATTATTCATTAGATCGTGAATTTGACATGTCAACTCAAGTTAGATATTTTTATTTTTTAATTTTTTTTAGAAAATCCTTTACTATTTGATTTGCTAGTAACGGAGTGTCAATTTTTTTTCACTTTATAAAATTATCTTGATCTTATTTATTTTTTGTTTTATTATTAAATAAAACCATTAAAACATTTTAAGTATATTTAAAAAGTGTCTATTTATAGTATTTACAAGTGTTCATTTTTATTACGAATCATTGTTATTTTTTTGTCATTGATTTGTTTATATATATTATTAAATTAACTGATTTTATTAAATTTAATCAAATTAATAATTCAAATTCATAGTTTTTTATTTTTAAAAAAACTTAATTATTATTTGAATAATTTTTTTATTAAAATTTTTTTACCTAAATTACAACTTAGCGTGAATTACCCAAGTTATTAGAAAAACAAAGACGGGCCACGTGATATCTTGTCCTCGTAAAAAGCAGTTTCAAGAAAAAATTTAAAAATTATAAAACAGAGAGGGGATGTATTCTAGTGGGACCCGTTTATGAGCCATCTTTTGCTTGCTGTTATAATAATTATTTTCTAGTAAGCTGGAACTATTGTATTTTTATACTATGATAGAAATTATTTTTTATTTAAAATTATATTAAAAATATTTTTTTTATTTTTTAAATATAATTTCTATATTAATATATATTAAAAAAATTTAAAAACATAAAAAATAAATCATTTTTTAAAGTATAATTACACCGCTATAATAAACACCACTTTAATTTAAAACTACGGCTAACATTATCAATCCTTCCAAAGATTTTTTTTTAAAAAAACCCAGGTAGGTAGAATTTAATTTAAAACTACGGCTAACATTATCAATCCTTCCAAAGATTTTTTTTTTTTTAAATCCAGGTACGTAGAAAGCTAGGGAGCTAGGGAGGTTGCCCAGATGAAATAAAGACTCACCAAAAGAATACAATAATAAATAAAAAGACTAAAAACTAAATAAAAGGGATGCTACACTAACTAAATTCAAATCAGACAAGCAAAGTGATGCAGGACAACAAAGTTTTGAAGTGATAAAAAGAATGTATGAAGAGAAGGAGCATAGGGAAAAAAAGCCTGCATGTTTTTCTTAATTCATCAAAACCAACAAATGAGTTTATTGTCCAGTGAATGAGATGTTCTGACATAATATTAAAGGTTTATTACAATTTACAATTTATAAGGACAGAAAAAAAAAATCACGCTGATAATAAATCATATATCTATAATTTACATGGATCACACGAGGGGAAAAAAAATACAATGATATATTTGATGATATTATAAAAGGGTATATTTTACCATTAAGGGGTGCCAGAAGCACTAATCAAAGTGTATGGACGTTTTTATATGTAGATACATGTACTGCACACTCTAAAATTTTTTTAATTCTAAAACTATTTAATTTGGATTAAAAGACAATAATACCATCCACAAAACAATAAATAATACAAAAACCAACTTCAAAGGTAAAAAATAATTATGGCCAAAGGTTTTTTTTTTTTGGTTTTTACTTTAAGGCATTTAAGTAGCCTATTTTTACATTTAAAATTGAAAAACCAAAACTACACTTAGACGTCATATATATATATATTGTTTCTAAAGACATTTTGATATTTTTACTGTTTATAAAAATAAAAAGACTTTATTACCCCCACCTACCAAGCTAAATGTTAATCGTTTCTTAAAGTTACAATGCACAGTAAAAGGAATATGATGCTACAGTAATGACAGTGTTTAGCCCCTCTTTACTTGCAGGATACTTGCATTTTAATATTTTCTTGGTATGGAATGAACCTAGACAGACAGTGAACATAGACAGTAATTAAGAACATATCCAATGAGCCTTTGTTGATGACTTAGGAATTGATGGTTAAACATGTTTCAGAAAAGATACACTGCAAAACGGTGCCAAGAACTAAAGAAACAGGCAACTTAAATCAGAAACTTTTCTTGACATTTTCCATGCAACGAACGAAGTCACTGTTGATATTCTTAGAAAACAAAGTTGCTCGTCTATAAATGCAAACTACAACGACCACACTGTACCTAGAATTGTGCTTTACTTGTTGATCCTATACACAGTTATATGAATTCAACCATGGCATTTTTTTTTTTATTTATCTAGGTTGTCTGGGTTAGCTTGTGCGCACCACGACTAATTCCCACGACCCACTAAATACCCTGCAAATTTAATAGATATGTAAGACACCGCGGGGGTGACAAACGTGCACGTCAGGGCTCAAACTCATAGCGATAAAAGGAGACAAACTCCTTTCACCGCTAGGCCAAGAGTTGGAATACCAACCATGACATCTTTTTTTAGATTAACATGGATATCCGGAATAACTTGCGCGCACCATAATATATTTACTTGTTCAGAATTGTGCTTGGCACTGTTGTTGATGCTTATTACTCTTCTCTAATTAATGCTCGAATCAATATTATTTAAATCCCCCACCCCGCCCCCCTTTTTTTAAGAAAAATACCTTTCTAATTACAATTTCCAAATTCTCATTTGTTAAAAGTTGGGAAAAAAAAAAAAACCACAGCCAGCTATTGCTACTTTGACCCTTCAGCCATGGCATCGTTCTTCAACTCGTGTTTTCCTTGGTTAAAATCCAAAGAAAGTCGCAGCGCAGATACGTCCACGCAACCAGACAATTCTGATCATCGTTCCGACACAAAAGATATTCAATGTATGAGAATATCAGATGAGAACAGGAAGAAAATGAGGACAGCTAATTATGAGCCATTAATGGTAACAGCATGTGCAGCATCATTTGGAAGCACTCGTTTGCCGGTTGCTAAAGGAGAGAGGCCTGGAGTAGGGCATGCTTTCAGCTGGGCGGAGAAATATCAGCCCAAGGCTTTGAAGGACTTCATCTGTCACAGGGAGAAGGCGGAATCCATCCGGAGTACGGTATGCTTTTATATACATTTACATGAATTTATTTTATTTTATTTTGTGAGAAGTACACAAGGCCATTTTCAATTTAGGTTACTTCGGGTCCCTTGCAGTACGAAAGGGGGTTCTCATGTAAGAAATTTTGAATTGCTTGTGTTGGTTTTTCCTCAAGGCTGTCAGGGGTTGGGTGCAGCACCGTGTTTCGTGATTTTTTTAATTAATTTTTTTTATATTTTTTTTAATTTAAAAAAATATTAAATTAATTTTTTTATTATGATTTATAATTAATTTGATGTATTAATATTAAAAATAATTTTAAAAAATAAAATAATTATTTTAATATTTTTTTTTAAAAAATAATTATTACCACTTTTCTAAACACTTTAATAATTTTTTTTAAACACAAAAAAAAAAATGGAAGCAACGTTGCAAAGTTGTTTTAGTGTGTTGTTTGGTAAAAAATTAATTTGCTTAAAAGTTTAAAGTTTTGGATTTGAAGATATAATTTATATTTTTTTAAATGAAAGTCTTTTGAATTTGAAATTTACATATTTTTATATTATTTTATACTTAATTTTTATCAAATAAATAAAGATAACAAGATTCAAACTTGTAATTGATTAGTTATCAAAACCCCAATATTATATTAAAAAATTAATTTTACTTAAAATTTTAAATTTTTAAATATCATGTATACTGTCTACCACTAGAAAAATGCTTCAGAACTGTGATATTTTTTAAAGGGAGTTAATTTGTGACCAACATGGTAAACGTGCATAGTTTTTTTACACTAAATGGGCTTTTTGGTGAATTCTTAGGTATGCCGTGGACATTATAGTCATTGTATATTTGAAGGACCTCCAGGGGTAGGAAAGAGAACGATGGCTCTAGCAATGCTTAGAGAGTGTGCTGGAATGGATATAACTGAGGTACTTGAGTGATTTCCTTGTTCTTTTATTACATTTCCCTTGGTGTTTAAGACTTTTTAATGGTTGCTTACCTTCTTTTTACAGACAAAGGAGGAAATCAGAGTATTCAATCTGGTAAGCACTGTTAAATGTGCATCTTGGTTGTCTTCAATTCTAGTTTTGTCGTTTATGAGATGCTATTTTCTTATATCTGATTTTATTAATCCAAGGTTTAAATGTGGTTGGTTGAGCTCTCCTTGAATTTTTATTAGATTTTTTTATTTTAAAAGTGTTTAAAAAAATTGTTATAAATTAATTTTTTTTTTTGTAGTTTTCGTATCTTTTTAATTTAATATGTTATGCTGATGTTTTTTTTTTTAAATAAAAATATATTATTTTAATGAATTTTTAAATAAAAAAGCTTCAAAAAATAATCACCCCAATACCAAATAAGCTCTTAATGTGCTGTCTTGGTTCAATCCATCTTCTAGCTTTAAGAATCTTCCCCTTCGTTTCTTCAAAATGCACCCTCAGCTACCCTGAATTTCGTAATTATGTTATCTCAGAGTGGAAGCGGGCCAATTTCTAACATTCCTGTCAAAATTGAAGTATCTTCACAGCTCATTCAGATTGATCTATCTGAAATAAGATGGCATGCTACAGAAGTGATTTTGGATCTACTCCAGGAAACATATATAAACGGCCAAGGTGTGGAAACATCCACTCATTTCAATATAGGTAATTCACGGCCTTGTCAATTGGTTATAGTTTTAATCTATAAAAAGGAAAAATGATATTAGCATTCATGTAAAAAACAGCAATTATTGTAAACGAGGCAGAGCGTCTCTCTAAGGATGCCCAACTCCGAATCAAAAGCTTCCTACAGACTTATAGAGGGCACTGCAAAGTCATCTTCTGCTGCTATGATATTTCCAGGCTCCACGATCTCAGTCCCCTCTGCATTGTTATTCCACTCCTTCCACCTTCAGATGAACAGGTAAAAATTTGCTTCAGATTTCTTTGAGATAACATCTCAATTCTTCAACATTTGATAGTTCCACTGCCTTTTCTCTTTTCAGTTCAGGACTGTGATTTGTTCCTTCTGTTCTTTAGATTGTTGAAGTATTGCATTTCATTGCTAAAAAACAAGACATTGAATTACCTGACCAGTTAGCCAACAACATAGCAGAGAAGTCCAAACGTTGCCTTCAGCAAGCCATTCGTTCAGTTGAGGCCACCTGGCTTTCGAAGTACGCAACACTAAGTCCGCAATTACCTACATTTATCCTTAATCAACTAATTATAAACATAACACAAGTCAACAAATGAATATATGCTTGCTTCTTTTGTTTTCTAACTCTGTCTAGCTTTGACAAATTTCCTGCGTGTTACAGCTATCCCTTTAAAGAAGAACAACTGGTTTTGACTGGCTGGGAAAAAGAAATTGCAGACATTGCTACAAGTATAATTGAAGAGCAAAGCTCTAAACGGTTAGGTGCTTTTGCAGTGATTGGATGACTATGGTGACTAGAACTTTTAAGACATGAAGGGAATGTCGATCCAAGTCAATTTGTCCAATCGAACCTTTGTTAATACTCGTGAAGAAAAATGTATTTGGAAGATGAGGATATAACTAAGGAAGCATACCTGGCTTCTTGCTTTTACTCATTGATCTTTCTTCTGTATGCAGGTTGTTTCTTTTCAGACAAAAGCTTCAAATTCTGTTCCAGCACAATTTGTGTCCCCAGTTTGTTTTTTTTGTAAGGCGCTCTCATCAAGATGCGTTTGCATTTGATTGGAAAACTATGAATCAAGCAATTTTCTTGATTGTTTTGCAGACATTAGTGGAAGAACTAAAGAGGCATTTGGATGACCGAATGCAAATGCAAATCGGAGTCTTTTCCCAGACATACAACGATGATGTATGAATGACAGCCGAGTAATTGAGCTAATCTTTTTAGTATGGTGCATGTCTCTGATTTCACTGTCATTTATGTGCTATCTTCATGAAGCAGAATGAAGACCTCTGTATTGGGAGAAAGAAAATGAGAAACCAAGATGAGTTATTTTGTGGGCAAATGAGAACAGGGGTTGCCGGGTTTGTGAGGATAGAAGGTAAGTAATTGAGAGCTTCTTGGTTGCCGCGTATAATTCACACGTGATATGAGTGCAGGCCCCTCACATTTCCTTCCAATATCACCCACAAGATCATCAAATTGGATGCTAATACCTTACATTTCCAATTATAAAATTGGCTTACTCTAACGAAGCACCTTTTCTTGTCAGAATTTGTAGCTAAGTTCATGAGCTTTTACAAGGACAACGGGATAAAACAAGGTTGAACGTGAGAAAGGTGAGGCAGATAGTACCTGCCTATTCAGAAAGCCGGAACATTTATAATGCTTCTTCAGAATTTCACTCCTGAGTCTGGTGTGTTTGAATCGTACAGCAGTACGAGGTCATGTCATCATGGAATAAGACCGCATTGAAACATTGCCAGTATTAACAAATAGGCACAACAAGGCAATTCCTTCTGATTCTTCTTCTCAGCATTTTCTTCTCTTTTTCATCAAGAACATTAAGCCAGGAATTCCGTGAAATTTCCTTTTACCCATGTTTGTAAATTTGAGCATGTCTCAATTTCACAAAATCAAGCTACTTCGAATCACAATGATATTTGTAGTGTTCGCAAGGTAGCTAGGAATCATCCATCTCATCGCATCGGTTAGTCTGCCATACAAATCTGAAAGCCTTTTCGTTATTCTCGGTTTGATAATATGAATGGAATGTGCAATTGATTCAAACTATATGGAGGATTTAAAAAAGCTCTGGCTTAGAAGTATGACCTGGGTTAGTTACCATAACAACAAAAACAAGGGACTACCCTGGCTACCCCATTCCAATACCATTAATTGGGAATGTGTTCCAATCACTTAATGATCTTCAGTGCTGAGACAGCCAGGGTTTTATTTACTTATTTGGACTTATAAAATATGCTTTTCAGAAAGTAGGGTTTCCTCAAATCCAAAAAAAAAAAAAAGATCTTCAGTGCAGTCTAAAACTTAGTTGTATAGTATTTCAGCAACGAGGAAATTGCTTCTATAGGACAAAGCATTCATAAAATCTCAGTTAAAAAGCACGCAACCTTCCGTTTCTAAGACTATCAACCATGTCATATTGCATAAGAGGAAGTATCTAACTATGTACAACAAGAGAGAAAGCTAATTACTCCCTCAATCCAAATTTAATTGGGAATCTATAAGCTCATTTCTATGCATTGTTCCGAGGACTCAACCAGACAGAAAATGGCAAGCCGATTTTGAATAGATTCTGTATAGTTTCTAAGACTAATCAAGAAATTTCAAATAAGGTAATCAAAATATAGTGCAAGAAAAGAAAGAAAGACAAGCATAATAGAAGCGTTATTCTCTTTTGATGCCCCCATGGGACCACCCTGAGAATTCTCCATAGCCATCATTCATAAAGCTTTAGAGTCCCCAAATGTAATACAACTTCCCGTTGCACAATGTCCCCTAGTAATTTTTACCTTCACATGTTCCATCAATCGCAAAGTATATTTATTCTCTTCTTCTCTAGTTGCAACTATCGAGTGCCCTGTCGAGTGTGACCTTGACAATCCCAACATTTTTTGATGCTCCTCGTTTTGTCTGTCCGCATCATGAGTCGATCCTATTTCCTCATTTCCTTCTCCACCTTCCTCGCCACTATCTTCTCTAACATGAATGCTAATGGCATGCTCTAGCAACGCATTTGTTACACTAGCATCATGCACATTAATGTCCGCTCTGTGGTCTCGTATCCGAGTTTTTTCCAATGTTTCCTTGGGCAAGTCAAGATCTCTACGACAAACCGGACATGTCTTGTGAGCTTCAAGCCAAAGATCAATACATTCTTGGTGGAAAACATGGTAGCAGACCGTTAAAAGGCGCAGTAGATCATCATAAGAAAACTCTGCCAAGCAAATAGCACATTCAAGTACATATTGTTCACGTCGATAATCTTTGACGTTTGAATACGTAAATGTTGGAAAAAATTGTATTTGTGAAGAATCAAGTCCAGGATTTTCTTTTGAACTGGCCAGGTTTACACGTCCGCGTGAATTCTGCCTGAGATGCCAATTGTGCATGATGCCTTCCATAAAACATCTGTAAAAGCATATAGAGAAGAAACCTATAAAAAAGACCACAATAAGAATTACGGTTACAAGTAGGCTTATTAGAGGAGAGCCACTAGATAGAGTTGTTGAGGATGATGAAGAATTAGATGACATCGATTAGAAATTTATTTAGCCTAGATGGCTGGCCGGAGCTTGGAATTTTGCAAACCTCAGGTTTTTGCATGGATGAAGGGAAACTTAACCAAAAGAAACCGAATCTAAAAGGTGGGGAAAAAATGAATAAAAAAAGAAGAAAGAAAAGAGTATTTTTGTTTTGTTAGTCCAATGTGGTTGGGAACATTTAAGAAGTGGCTTAATTTTGAATGGTGATGTGGAGAGATCAGTTTCCTGTCCTTGGTTGTGGAGAGATTCGTTTATTGTCCTTGACACGGAATAGATCATGGCCACTGAGCGAGTCTTTGTGAGAAGGATGGGGAGTTTTGTCTGAAAAGTAGCGATTTTGGCTCAGCTAATTTCTCTCTTGCTATTGTGACAAAACAAGGACACTTTTCCTTTTTTAAGGTCTTCTGCCCTATTTTCGTATAATCACCAAACTCAAAAAATCCCACTCAACCCGACCAGATTCAGATCATTTGTACCTATCACATGAAATCACAATATGGGTGCACAAACAGGATTGGATCCGGAGTGATGTTATCGCCGAACTTGTGATTACTTTGGTTTTGTGGTTGGCAGTTTGGGGTTATGATGCAACACCATTTTGGTTAAATGATTAAAATACCCTAAAAAAATACAGTCTACGATCTTTTAAACGTTTTGATTGCATAATAAAATAATAATATCCAAGGATTTATTTATATTTTTACCATAGTTTTTTAGCTATTATCAATTTGAATAAGAAAAAATTTAATCTTTAACAAATATAAATATTATAACAAAATAAAAATCATCGATATATATATAGTGTCTCTTAATGGCTAAACACCGCCTTACACAACAACATTAAAAGTGCTGCGTCATTCTCCTCTTGTTGATCGAGTATATGTTCATGAAGAAGCAGCATTTGGCCTCTAATTGACATTCTTTTTTTTCTTTTTCTTTTTTTCTCTTATTGCCTCATGTTTTGCATCGGCCTTTCAAAATTAAATGTGTTCAATCAGTGTATTTGTATTGATTTTAATACTTATTTTTTTTATTATTTGTTTTGTTTTTAATGTTTTTTAAATATTTTTCTCAATTTTTTTTCTTGATATTTTATTTCATATATTTTTTTTATATATGATCTTTTAAACGTTTTGACTTTTTATATATTTTTTTTCATATGTTTTGTTTTTAATGTTTTTTAAATATTATTTGTTTTTAATGTTTTTTAAATATTTCACAATATTTTTCTTGATATTTTATTTTTATTCTTTTGATTGTTATTTTTTATCCTTTTCTTGATTTATTTTATTTTTTAATTTAATTATTTATTATTTTCTTTCATTTAGTTTTTATATCATATTTGATCTCTATTATTTTAATTATTATTTATTTTTTTTATTTTGAATGATTAAAAATTATACTTTGTGATTTTTTTGTGTTTGTTTTCTATAAAATAATCTTAATCTTATAACTCGAGTCATGAGTTTTAAAAATTAGCTATATTTTTTTAAAATTAATTTTTTTATCAATTGTATCATTCAATATTAGATTGTTAAACTTTAAGTTTTATTATTATTTTTATTTTTTAATAGAATTATTTTGATATCATATTTTTCATCAATAAGCAGGTTATTCTCTCAATTGGCAGGTTACTTGAGTGAACGTAAACTTAAATTTACTCAAGGGTTTGTTTTTAATGTATTTTTTATAGTCTACTTAAAAATTGAACTTTATTTTTATATTTAATTTTTTTTATTTAATAGTATCTCAATCTCATTAATTTAACCATGCTAACTAAATTCAGGGTTTGTTTTGTTTTTTTTTGAATTAGTTCTCCAATATTTACTTTATTGGTAATTGGGCTTCGGATTTCATTTATTTTTGTCTTTAAATGCCTCCATGTAATTACATGTCAGCAAAATGGTCCCAATTATTATTACTATAACCATGTTCTCATACAAATAATTTTTTTTTTTGGGGGGATTGTCTTATGATTTTCCTCATTAAACCATGACGAATCCTTACTTAAGGCTTAGTATAGAAAAAAGCTTATTCAGAGACAAAATTAGTTGCCCAGTACAGGCAGCGGAAAATCTTCCATTCTCCTACCACAAGGCCTCTGCAAGTCTGGGTACTTTCCACTGTGGGGGTGACTAAAAATAATGTCCTCACCCACATATCCAAAACAATTTTGATCAACCATATGAATCTCCACCAAAAACAACGGCGAGACAATTACATACAAAAGCATAAATTTTGCACAGCAAAGGTTTGAGGGTAATGTCTCACAACAGTGGTAGAATTCATGGTCTGCATTTAAATATAATCTCAAAATCGACCCAACTAATTCAGTTTCAAATTTCTGTTTACCTAGCAATTACAACCTTGTAGAGCATAAAAAACTGGGCACATCCAAATACCTAATGGATCGTGACTCTCCTTTCTAGCATAGCGAGTTAAAAATGAAAACTACTGCCCATGGTCAAATAAAAGCCGAGGCTCTCACCTTTGTTTGAGCCCCATTGCAATCAGTTGACGCAAACAGATGCTTAAGCAGCCAGGGGCAATAGAGAGCAGAGTTAGACTAGAGGAGAGGCAAATTAATACCTGATGGAATTTCATTAGAGAAATCAATATATGAAACAAATACATAAAACAAATGATCCACAAAACAAAAACTAGCACTGACATACCTCAGACCGTGCAAATTCATGATAAATGTTGATGGATCACTTGCCGACCTGCACATTCTAAGTAAAGCAACAATGATTTTGAGAGAGACTAGGAGAAAGCTAAATACTAAATTGGAAAATTTATCCAAAGTGGTACAACTACAAAGATAACAGTTCTCCTTGGATGCAAGACATCCAGTTATCATGCTTGATTACAAGGATCTACACTACAAATGTAGTGAAAGCTTCAAATTTCCACCAGAAACTAAAATTCATGCATAAACGCTACAGGCCTGATATCTTCATGCCTTAAGAAAACAAACTCTGCACTTGGCCGTTGAGCAGGGTATCATCCAGAAACTTGAAGCCAGTAAGCATGGACCTCTTCAACCTAAGAGCTGAAGCTTATCAATATTTTCATGCCTGAAGAAAACAAACTCTGCACTTGGCCATTTAGCCTTCCAGCACAAGTCTTTGAACATTTCAATTCTATCAGAATGCTACACAGAAAAGAATTCTGATTCTATTCAATGTCATCGATCCAGTCACCATATATCCTACTGATTTTGTCTGGACCCTTCCATTTCTCATGAGTTCTTTGTCCTGGTCTCTGAATCAGAATAGATGATCTCTGTGATGAAACTCCTAGATGATAAACATCTGAATGAGGCACTGAGGTAACTGATGCAACCACAGTCTCTGGTGGAGTTTTTGAAGGCATTCCTCCCTGCTTTGATTCAACAGGGACAGAAGAAGAATCTTTAGGTTCTGTATCCACAAGCCCCCCACCATATCGGTGCAACTCTGCAGCCACACAATTCAAATCCTAAGTTAACATAAAAACTACTTCAATCACATCAAAGAAAAACAGAGAAAGAAAGGGGAGAAAAAAAGGGCAGCTCTATCATCATGTTAGTAATCTGAAACCACCATTAATCTAATACATAGAGAACATCAACTAGCAATCCTCTTTAAACAAATGGTTCTATGAGTTTCATGTTATTATCCATCTAGAGAGAAATGAAAGGATAAAACCAGCAATCCTCAGATGATCATAAACATGAACACAAGACATCTAACATACCCACAACAAAAAACATGTACATCTAAGGTGTTTATAAGAGAAGAATGGCATTTCAACTCTCATTTGATAGGCAGAATCCTTCAACAGCTAGCATTAAAAAACCAACCTATAAATTGTTAAAGCAACATACATCAACCACACCTTACCAGACCAGAAGTAATGGAGGAATGAAATCTAACTGCTTTTTCTAATACAAGGAAAGACAAAATGACATTTTACCTTAAATTTAAATGGGAAAAAAAGAAAGCTATCTTTTGATAGTTATTTAGAGGAAACAACAGCAATATAGCTCATTTTAAGCATTCATCGGCACCAACTAATGTAACAAAACCGAACGAAGTCCCAGGTTAGCTGGAAAACCATCATACACCTTGTGTTATGAAGTAATTGCAGCTAATTACTTTCCAATAGAAGGTTCAAAACTGCCCTCAAAACAGAAGCAAGCCACGTACCCCAAAAAAATCCCAGAAACCACAATTCTTCTATTAGTCTACCATTAAAATCAATCAAACATGTTCAACTTTCTTAGTCTGGTGCGCTCTCAAATAACATATGCAACCAAACAACTGTTTCTAAATGATCAAAGTCACCATCTTTTACATTTATTCAGTCCCAAATAATCAACAGAAAATGCCTCCAGCTGATAATCCTAGCCCCTACCAAAAACTGAAATCATCAATGGTACAAAATTCACAATTCATAAGGCATACCTCCTACTCCATGAGCAAAATGGCACTTATTCCCAAATGGGCAATATCCAGTAAGTTCCCACTTGTTACAGATTCTAGTCTTCCAATTTGATGGCTTCACATTAACTGCAGTGCTACCTGCATTTCCTCCTCCACCTCCACCTCCACCTCCTGCTCCTGCTCCTGCTCCTGCTCCACTGCCACCTCCACTGCCTCCTCCATAACCTCCAGGCCCCAAACTTATTGCCACACTCTCCCTATTCTTTGACTGCTCATCGTGCAAAAACGTGCAATTATCTCCATAAGGACACCCTTCTTCCGTATAAAACTTCTTACAATGCCTCCCTTTATAAGACCTCGGTGTCTCCGCTCCAAATCCCACTATAGATGGGATTTGAAATTCCTCCCTGAAATCCAGGGTGTTCCCTTTCTCTTCCTCGTGGGCAGCCACTATCTCCTGCCAGTTTGGAGGGGGACGCCGAAGCTCCTCTATGCTGTGTGCAAAGTTGCAGTTTGTGATGTAAGGGCATGTGCCGGCACGGAACTTACAGCAAAGTTTGGTCTTGAAAAACATTTTCCCGATCGACTTCTTCGAATTCAATTCCTGGGAATTGTTTTTTGATTTCTTATTTGGCGGTTCGCTACCGGATCGTGTTGAGGATTGGTAGTTGGAATTGGACGAAGCGTTGTCATTAAGGATATCAGAATTGTTCCAATCACGGTAATCATCTTCTGTAGCCCAAACAGAATTGGAATCAGAGGAATTTAGAATCCAATTCTCTGGATCTGATATTGGAATTACATGGACAACATTTCCACCAGAAAAATCCCTATTGCAATCCATTTTATTACTTTAAACCCACTAACCAAATAATATCAAAGTTCTAAACTTTGATGATGAAACCCTAACTTGTAAACAAAGATGATAAAATCAGCACATAAAACATGAGACCCGTAAACTAAAATTGATTGCAAATCAAGCAAAGATATGAATTTAGCGAAATTTGAGAAACGGGTATTTTAATTAACACATCAAGGACCGAGTAACACAGAGCTTGAGCTAAAACAGCATCCAAAGCAGCAAGAACTGATATTAAAGGGTTTCCAATTACCTGATCAAAAGAGGAAGCACACTCAATTACCTAAATTTATGAAACGGGTTTTTAGTTAACACATCCAAGACTAGATTCAAACGGGTTTTCACTAAAATTTGCAGTGAAAATGAGATGGAGATGGAGATAAGAGTACAGCATCAGCAGCAGGTAAAACCTGAAAATTGAAGGATAAATTATGTAATGGATTGGGTTTTGGATCCATGGCCTTGTGATATGGAGCAGAATCTGCAAACTATCAAATGAAAGATGGCTGTGAAAATAGAAATCGAGTGTCTAAAGTGGAAATATGATCAAGTAAACAATTTGAAGAGGGATAATGAAGACTCGAAATTTAGAGAAGATCTCAATGCATGTTGCTTCGAATCTCAAGGACACCAAGTTTTCCTTTTTTATCTATAACAAAAAATGAAATTCATAAAATTTGGTATTCCAACATTGCTCGAGAAAGGATTTTCTTTTCAATTTTTAGTATGTATATATAAAAGGAACTTTACCAACACTTGTTAAAATGAAAGAGCAATCCTCAAATGTTTCCCTTCAACTATTGAGATATAGAATCAATTTTGATTTTAAAAACATTTATGCATCAACATTTTTAAAATAATTTAGACATATTAAATGGGTTTTTGTTGTTGGTCCTTGACATAAAATCACATATAAGTGACGTGGCTGTACATTGGAGTGTCAGATTTGAACCCATGCAGATAGTGTGCCATTTAAAGTAAAGAATGAGATCAATGTAATTAAAGTTAAATTAATTTAATTATTAATTATTATTTTACTATTAAAAGAACTCTAAAAAATATGAATATTTCAGCATAGTAATCCATAATTGAAATACTCGTTTTGCTCTTCAAACACAAAACCTTAAAACTATCTATTAGGAGTAGTATTATAATGTCACAATGATCCATTTCAAATGGGACAATTAAATCTTTCTACTTTTATATTGCACAATAAAATCACTATTATACACTTAAATTAAAAAATTCTTAGAGATGGAGTACAAATACATTTTTGTATTATTCATTTTTAAGCAAGTAAAATGGTTTAAATATCTTTTAAAATAGAATTTAATTTAACTTGCATCTAAGGGTATTTTTTGTATTTTTCATTTAGGTTTGTTGTTATTATTATATTGGTGAATGAGAGATTTAATAATTTTAAAAATATAAATATTATTAAAAAAATAATTAATGCATGTGCTACACACATTATCATATAGTTAACGGTTACGTTATTTAGACGACACAGACAACATCACTTTATGGCTAAACACCATCTTTAATGGTGGTGATCAAATCTTTTTCACAACCCTTATATTTTTTGGCAACACGTGAGGTGATCGAAACTTTGGTTTGACAGCTGTAGTGTTTTTTTTTGTTTTTTATTTTTTATTTTTTCTTTGATTTTCATGCAAATTCTTGAAGAAGTCCTTCAATTTTTTTCTTTAAATTTAATCTTTATTTTTTTTATTTCTTTACATGAAGTAGTTTATAAAAATGAAACTTGTTTTCAACTTTTTTGTACGGTAGATTTGGTTTATATATTTTTTTTATTATTTGTTTTGTTTGAATTAATTTTTATGATTTTATCCTCTAATTTTTTTCTGTCAAATTTAATTCTTGTTCTTTTGATTATTATTTTTATTATTTTAATAATTTTTTTAGATTGATATTTTTTTATCTCATCCTTTAACATTAAATTAGTTGGAAACTTGACTTGTTAATTAGGCCTAGGTATAGAATTTTACAGGTTATGATTTGGAAGATTAATCTCAATTTAGTCGAGTTTGCTATGATTTTTTTTTAAGCTAACTTTTTTTTAATTTTATTTTTGAGCATTTATATAATAGATATTGGACTCCATTAAATTTTTCTTATTTGCTTTTTGATTTTGAAAATGACCATTTTAATTGATACCCTTTTAAAATATTTATTTTTTTAATTAATACCTCTCTCTAATTCTTTATTTTATTTATTTAGCCTTTTTTAGATAGCAACTTTTTTAATTATCTTGT